ACCCCTGAAAATCTTGTGGACCCAGACTTACCGGGCACATGGAGAGCCATGGAAGCACTCTTCGATTCTGGAAATGCCCGAGCTATTGGTGTAAGCAATTTCTCTAGCAAGAAACTTGCAGATCTACTGGAGGTGGCTCGTGTTCCTCCTGCTGTCAATCAGGTGGAGTGTCACCCATCATGGCAGCAGGAAAAATTACATGAATTCTGTAAATCAAAAGGAGTTCATCTATCTGTGAGTAGCAAAATCCTGACTGATTTTCCTTTATCAGTTCACTGTCTAATCCACAACGGTAGCCTCCTCTTCATGGCTGCGGAATATGTCTGCTTTTGAATAGTTTCAAACTATATGATTACGAGGCTTGACTTTCACCTTAATTCAGGGATACTCTCCATTGGGTTCACCTGGGACAACTTGGCTCAACAGTGATGTTCTCCAGAGCCCAATTCTTAAAGAGATTGCTGATAAACTTGGCAAGACTCCTGCACAAGTTGCTCTTCGCTGGGGACTACAGAAGGGTCATAGCGTGCTTCCAAAAAGTACTACCGAGTCAAGGATCAAAGAGAACTTAGATGTTTTCGATTGGTCCATACCTGAAGATTTGATGGCCAACTTTTCTAAGTTTGATCAGGTAAGTAAATGGAGTTATATTCTTGTTCGTATACTTGGAGGGAATATATTTCCCTATAATTATAATGATGAATGTTGTGGTTCTATTCACAAAGTTGTTGTATTATTGTACTGAGATCCACTCTATTCTTCACTTGGACAGGCAAGGCTACTCAGAGGAACCTTCGCTGCGAATGAGAATTATGTGTACCGAACTGTTGAGGATTTATGGGATGGAGAGATCTAAAGCTGTCAGCTCTATCATTTAGAGGGTAAGTAGATAACCCGTATCGCCGACGGTTGAAAGAAAATAATTGAAGTTTGAATATTCTCCTGTGGGGATTTGAAGTTGTTTCATTCCAAATCTGGTTGTATTCTCTAGTTATTGGGTTCTTCTCCTTGTACATTGTGCTCTAGTTTTAGAGTCTGTATGGAGAGATGAGATGCCTTAAAATTTTTGAGTATACCGTATGTTTGGATGTACTTTTAGTGTGAACGCTTTTGGTCTGTGCTGTTTTTAGTAAAGTGTGCTTCTCCAAAGAATTTTCAATTGATTGAACCGTGCTTGTAAGTTGTTTCTTATGAACCAGAAGGCACCTGATATTTTGAAAACACATTCAAACAACCAATCAAGGAGAGAAGTAAAGATTTGAACTTCGAAGAATCAAAGTTCAGAACTTTTAGGGGTGTTTGGTTTGAAGGTCGGAGTGGGCATGAGTTTTGAAAGCTCATGTTTTTTTTGTTTGAAGGTTTTCAAAGTCTATCCCTATCCCATTTCTTTTTTCATTTTTCATGTGAAAATTTTTATTTATTTTTGCGAGGATCGGGACGGAGAATCTCCCACGGAAATGCGTGGGATTGAATTCCGAATGAGAAATGTTTTTCATGTTTTTATTTTATTTTATTTTATTTTTTAAAATAATTTTTCTGAATAAACTTTTTGAATACATGATTTCATTTTACAATATAGTTTTTATTAAAAAAAATGTAAATAAATTTAAATTAAGGTTCACAAAAATATAATATAACGTTTTACTAAAATAATTTTTCAAAATCAAAATTTAATATTAGCATAAAAATTTTGGATGTAGAGTAATAGTTTTTATAGAAGCTCCAAAGTTCATTTTTATAGTTTTTATAGAAGCTCAAAGTTCATTATTTTGGCTTATAATTGGTTTGGTGGTCCATTTATAGAAAGTCGAAAATATAATTATAAAGGAAAGAAATATAAAAAAATTGATTTATTACAATTTATAATAGAAAAATATTTATTTTTATATGTAAAAAAGTGGTATTGGGACAAAGCGTCACAACCATATTATGAATAGAATAGATTGTTACACTCTTCCCACACTATGAACAAAATAGATTGACCCTCAAGTGGTGCTCATTTGGCCACGTAACCCTCAAGTGGTGCTCATCTGGCCATGTAAGGGCTAAGATAGATGAGTGTCATGTACGACCGAGGAGGAAGATGTGCTTGAAGTAGACGGAGGTAATGATGTCAGCATGAGGGACAAAGATAAACTTGATAAATGACAGGGTAGGTCTTAGGCCTTAACCTCAAAAATCATTTTAGAAGGAGTTTGCGCATGCAATTCTAGAGTTAAGTGTGTATGTATGAAAGATAAAAGCTAGACAAATTTGATGTTAATTGGACACCAAACAGATGCTTAAGAAAGAACTTATATCGTATCTCTCCTTTTAGCAAGGTGGGTAAAAAAAGTTCTCTCGACTTAAGATAGAACTTAAATAGTTAAAATGTTAGCAATCTTTTAAAAGATAAGAGTTTCAAATCCATTCACTTCCCTGTGGTTGGTATGAATTGCGAATTCGCATATTTAATATGAGAGTTAAAAATGTTTGTAAGATCAAAATATATTAAAACATTTAAAAAAATAATTGATATAAACCAACCCATCTAAACCATATAATATGAACTATGATATGAATTTGAAAGAAGTTAAGAATGTTATTCAAATTAACACCAAGTCAAGTTGTGACTATTAAGGTGGAACTAAATTGTAATTAATTTCATATTAAAAAGAATTAAGTTTCATTTATGCAGTAATAACTTCAACTTCAAGATACTCTACACCAGACTTCATTTATTTTTAGATGGTTACATGATGAATGATTAAAATCTAGATTTCTGGTGTTTGATTAATGTATTTTAAGTTCTAAAACTTTTTAATTATTTTTAGGTTACATTTAGAGTGGCTAATTATGCTTATAAAATAAGAAGGCTATAAACTCTAGACCTGAGGAAGGTCAAAGGTTTCATTTTGAGACTATATAAAACCATGCATGTTATTTTTACAAATGAGACTTGGAAGATGTAGTAAGAGCATTTGTGCTAGACATGCCATTTAGATTACATGTTTAGAATTATTTAAACTTGACATGATCAATTTTATTTATGGACTGACTTGTTTGCAATATTTTATCAACAAGATAATTCGAGTATTACTTTCTCTTAGAGTGAAATCAAATTGATACGATAGTTTGAGCATATGTGAATTAAAGGTTCGTATATCCAAACAATAATAAATGACTTCCTATTTTTTTGGTTTCACAATCGACTTAGAGAATAAAATATTGACGTGACATGTTGATTATAGATTGATTGGCCTTTTAGGATGAAACACTGGTTGAGGGGGTTCGTCCCCAAGGTCGTGGAACTGTTGTGTATGTCGGAAACATGGAATGGAATGGAGGGGTTATGCATTTGGACAAGCAAGAGCCATTGGTGTGAGCAATTTCTCAACAAAGAAGCTCTAGATTTGCTCAAAACTGCAAAAGTTTGCAAGGAGCTGACTAAAGAAGAGAGTTGGTTGATGGGTCTGGCATATTCTCCATTCGGATCGCCCCTATGTGACAACGAGCTTCAAAATCCCCCACCTCGACCTGTACTTACATTCATCTGAAAAAAAAAGAAGGGAAAAGGAGTGAGTATAAAATACTTAGTAAACAAGTTACCTGTAGTCTCTTGTCACATCCTTAACCTAGTAGGTATCTACGGACTTTTTATTGGGCTCTAAGAAGTTCGAGCCTAATCTTTACTACTATATGAGCATTTGGAGTGCCTCGAAGTTTCAAGCAAGTCTATGTTTTAAATCTTATCTCCTAAGAGTTTGTATAAGCTTTACGACCTTACTGTTACTTGATTAGGGTAGCTTCTTTTGTCGATGCAATGTGAAATCGATGTCTTGGGTTGAAGCGCTACTTCATAAAAATTTGATGGGACAACATGGTGTTTGCTAATTTGAACATCATCCGTGGAAGGTTAGCTGGGTGATCCTCCCATAGGATCATAAAGTCTCTCTCGTTTGGGGGGGAGTGACCTCCATGTACTGGTCAACTACTGTGTCAACCTATGTGGTCCCACACCCCCTCTCAAAAACAAGTTTATAGCTCAGTGGCCTTGTTTAGGAGACTCCTAACCATTTCCACAAGGTCGGGACATGCATTACCCTAATCGGCCTAGGCCTAGCTCGACAATATTGATATTGGAGTGGAAAGGATAGTGGAGACTATGATAACATCGTCTCTGTTGTTTATAGCTTGGAGGGTTACCTTAGTCATTCTTGGATGCCATGGAAGTTTACTAAGATTCTTAAGGGCGTCTAGGCTGTTTAAATCTCATTTGTCATTTCAAGACGTTTAGGGACTATCTTCTCAAGCTTATTATTCTGTGGATGCACATAAATCTAAACCTCTGAATCGTCGCTCACAATTCTAGGGTACTCAGTCTACTAAAAATGTACTACTTTAGGTCAGCTCGAAACCGCTCTAAATCTTGTGTCCTAATTTTAACGTAGTTCTCTTGTACATGTCTTATTATGAAGGTCATCCTATCAATCACCCCAAACATAATATACATAATCAATGATATACATAATTAAAATATTGGAACAAATTAACTAGGGAGATAAATGCTATTAATCACCTAAAGTACTAAAAATATAAACTAAAATATTTAAAGAAACTCAAATATTTAAACCAACTGAACGGGAAGATAATATTCGTTTAAGTATCTAACTGAAACGGTCTTTTAAGGATGGCCCTTCCTAATATGTCTTTTAAAAATCTCAAATATAATTATTAAACTCGTATTATAAGTCCCCACTTCATGATTTGTATGTCATATATATCTATAGTATTATATTACAATTGGGACTAAACATATATGAAGAAATTGACCTGTTTCTATATGAAGTTTAATGAATGTTTAAATGCTCAAATCTAATTATTAAATATAGAATGTGTATACATGTTTTGAGACGTGGAGCTCCTTCTTCCCAACTTGTAAATTGTTTTAGTTATCATATCAACACAAAAGAGTGGTAATAGAGGATGAGAAAAAACCCCTTACAAATCAAATTAAAGGATTAACAACCAAAAATAAATTCAGTCAAGGCACCAATTGCTAAGTTCCCAACGAGGGAAAACATTGTAGTACCAAACAGCGATCCCAAACTCGACGAAGGTGCATGTTCGTGTCCATGACAATGACAATGACCATGTCCGTTGCTTTGTCCATGGCCTTGTCCATGTCCTTGGCCATGTCCGTGGTTGTGTCCGTGTCCGTGTCCTTGTCCTTGTCCGTGGTTGTGTCCGTGTCCGTGTCCTTGTCCTTGTCCGTGTCCATGTCCGTGTCCTTGTCCGTGTCCATGTCCATGTCCTTGGCCGTGTCCGTGTCCGTGTCCGTGTCCGTGTCCATGTCCTTGTCCGTGTCCTTGTCCGTGTCCACCATGATTTGGGTGATGACTTGGATGGTTGTTATGTACAAATGGAACAGGTCCAAGATGCCCAAAATGGTTACTCGGATGTTCCCAACCGTGACCATTTGGGAAAGCCCACCCACCAGCGGGAAAGCCACCAGGAAAATGAGGTGGCCCCGTCACCCACGGTGGCGGCGGTGCATGGTGATGGTTATGTATCCCACGTGAACCGGACGGCTGGTCGGTTTTCTCTCGCGAACCTAACGGCTTTAGGAGGCATCTAAGATGAACATTAACTCTACAATCGTCACAGCCGTACACCCAAAAAGAAGAGCAATCAGCTTTGCAAACGGAACAGCAGCCAGCGGAGAGCTTGTGGAGCCTCAACTTATGGGTGGGGTCAATGACATGGCGCAGGCTTTTGGGGAGGTGGGTGCAATATGGATGGACGTGGAAATGGCAGTGGTTGCAGCCGTAGAAATCGCCGTCGATGAATTCACGGCAAACGTCACAAATCCGATGCGTACGCGACGGAACTAGAGGATTACGGATCATGAGAGTGAGAAGGTGGCGGTGGAGGAAGGAGGAGAGTTCGCGGGGATAGTCGGAGTGATGCAATGGAGGATGGTTTGGGTGGTTTGGGTCTGTCGGCGGCGGAGCCATTTTTATCCGATCAGCCGAGAGGAAAAGATGCTTTGGGTGTTGTGTTTGATGTACTTGTAGAGCATTCTTTTATAGTCTCCTCTCTATGATTTTGGCAAAGGCGACGACTTAAGGTGCTGGTTTTTTTTTTTTTTTTTTTTTTTTTTTTTTTTTTTTTTTTTT